ATTCTGGGCAGAAATGGGCCGGGGCTGGGCTGGGGGTGGGTGGGTTAGGAAGGAACCGGCAGCAAGACCCCCTCCAGCTTTCCGACCCAACCCCCCAAGAAAACAAAGACTTGGAGCTGAGCCACCCTTTTGTGGAGCATCCAGAGGGAGCAGGCGTGGATGATCCGTTCTGCCGAAGGAGCCGGATGCTTGGAGAAAGCGGGGAGCACTAGGAATGGGGCTGGGGGGGCATCCAGAAAGGAAGCACGTCTTCCCGCAGAATGTAAGTGACCCGTGGAACTCACTCCCACAGGACACGGGGATGGCCGCCGGCCCCTGACGGCTTTGAAAGGGGACTGGATCAATTGGCGGAGGACAGACCTATCAAATGCTCTCGGTATGGGAGACTCACCGCCCCCCTCCACGCCCCCCACCTGAGCTGCAAGGAAGCGTTCGCAGGAGAGGCCAGATCCCGTCCCCTGCTTGCTGGCGCCCCAGTGGGACCAGCTGGGCTGCGGTGAAGAACCGGGGGCGGGACGAGGGCTGTTCTTGTCTTGTCATGTCGTGAAAGAGAGAGGACGAGGCTGACCTTTGGTCTAGCTTAAAAGATCCAGGGGATCTGTAGGAAGGATTAGCCAGTGAGTGGAAGAAAGCTTTCGGCAGGATCCCTCCTTTTATTCTATCTGAAGCTGAAGCCGCAGGGGATCTGGGAATCATTTTTCCATCACCCCCTCACACCCCAGTTTTCTCTTGGCATCTTGTGACCCATTCGTCTGCCCCAATCTGTGCATTCTTACAGGTTGGTGTTTAAAAGCCAATCGAGTACCAAAAGGCAACCTTAACACCTCATGAGGACTAGGAGCTTGACATTCCTGTAGGAATGATGCACCGTCCTGCAAGCCACACACTCCATTCCACGTTCAGTGTCTGATTTCATTATGGCCTTTTCAGCATGGAGATCACATGTGGGGCTTTAATTGTTTTATTTTTTTGCATTGCCGGAAATGAAGGTTTCTAGGGCTTTGTTGTTGATAAGAGAGGCCCTTCTACAGTGAGAGGAAAATACACAAATCTCCTTGTCTCCTGCATCCCTCCAAAGTTGTGCGCGCACACACACACACACACACACACACACACAGAGGGAACTATGTCTACCTGTTGACAGTCTTGCATGATGCATAGAGGAGGAGGGAGCTGGTGCCTGTGAGGCTCTGCTTCATCACAGCCCGGCTGCGACAGGCCGCTTAACTATGATGAATGACCAGCCCTGGCCGGCCACCCACTCCCCGGGCTTGGCTAAGAGAGAGGCAGATCACGGGCAGCTGAGCCGATCTGCAGGCCCCTTTTACGGTCTGTAAAGCTCTCCAGCGGCTGATAAGGAAGCGCCCCTGACGTTGTCTGGGAGTCTCACTCCCCGGACCCCGAACGTGGCCTCCGCTTTGGGGGCGGGGAGGGGAACAGAAAGCAAATCTGGATCTCCGGGGGCGACTTACCGCCGATTGGAAAAGAGTTCTGGCGTCCAACAGTTCGTAAGTCACGTCCCCGCCCGGTGCCCCTCTTTTCAACATTCTTTTTTGCATAAGACGAGGAGGACCCAAAAGAAATAAAAGGAAGGCGAATGCTGCAAAGGCGAGGAAATTGCAGGGCGAAAGGAAGAAATGCAAGAGATACAAGGGTCCCTGGGAGGATGGAAACGGTAACAGAATTCAGGTCGCAAACCACAAATTAAACCTCGGCCCCACGGGAATCTATTGTCCTGCCTTCCCCTTGCACCAGCGCAGGGCCACTTCCAAGGCTGGGAGGGCCCACGTTTCATCACTCCAAACACTGATGTCAGGGACGGAGAGTCCTTCCGAGCTAAAGTTCCTCACCGAGATAAGCTCCAGAGCTCTGGGACACCATTTAATGGCACATTAGCGTCTCTAAATCTTAATACCCCTCCTAGAATCTGGTTTCCCACTAAGATTATTCAGCCACGACGGGAGAACGAAAGGGCACAAACGAATCGTATGTATTAATGCCCTTTCACACATTGCAGCTTCCCACCCCCGCCTTTGTGATAAATTGGAGCAAACTTGAGATATACGGGTTCGTTTTTGTGTGGAAAGACTGCTATGGTAGCCCTAACCAGAGCATGGATGAAGTCTTTCATTCCAAGCAGGTGTGTTTTGACTGCTCCAGCACTCCATTTTAATAAAAAGGAACCCGACAGTTCTCCTTTTATTTTCTACCGTTCACGTCCAGTCGGGTTTCTTTCAAAGCAGAAGAGAACTTCAGTGCAATCTCACGGCTGCCACTGATGCTGTTGCACAAGCCACGTATCCAAGTATGTCCTATCTTTCACCGTACAACACTCCTGCAGTGGTTTGCAGTTCTCGCCTTTCCATTCCCTCCTACGGAAGACATCACGAGGGCCCCTTTTTTACAATGGAAAATCTGAGCAGCCAAGGGAAGAACTTCAGAGGGATGGAAAGATGCGTCACGGAAAAGGACGCTAGTCACAGCACACGCCGCGGATTGCACCAGACGCAGAAGCTCGAAAACTTCAGCAAGAGAAACAGGGAAGAAAAAACCGTCAAGTATCCTGAGAATGAAGTAGAAAAACAGAAGCCTCTTTTGCAGGAGAAGAGAAGCATACAGAAGCTGCCAGAAAGCTCACACATACCATCTCACCAGCCTGATGTCTGCCTAGCGCTGCCTTAATTCAAATTCATCAGAGCAGGCTCTGTTACCAGGCCCGATGATGTCACAACGGGTGTGATGTAACACCCCCCCCCGCCTCCCCTCGTGATTGACTCAGGAGGGTCATGACGGACCCTGCTGAATTCTGGAGACAAGCAACATTTCATAGGCTTTGCGGTTTCCTTCCCCGGGAACTGGCTCTTTAAAGAGAGAGATCCCTGGCTCAGGAATTCAGTGCAGGAAACGGTTTTGGCCAAAAAATTAACACC